TTTCAAACGGTCTGGATAGCCCTGGCAATGGTCCAACTGGGCTGGAAATGCTGCTGCTCCATGCCAGCCAAGGCAAAAACGTCTCTGATCCAGGGCTTGACCTTGGATGACCGTGCTGACCTGGCTTGCACCACGGAGATCTGCCTGGACCAAGCTGCTGGGGGTCAGTCTCTCCTAGCTTTCTTTGCCCACCTGGGTTCTCCGAAGAGCAGCAGGCTGAGTCCTGACCCAGAAGCTGAGAAAAGGGAGCGCAAGGGTTAGGAAAGCGGCTGCGCACGGATCCAGCTGTGGGTCCCAACGCCACCACCTTGACCTGGCCTGGGTTCCCCAGAACACCCCTCCCTCTCTCTGCCCCCCCTTCACCCCCCCATCCAAACACCCCTTGGCCTCCGGAATGATCTACGGACTCCTGCTTAGCTGGAATGGTGGAGTCCATTAAGGCTATGTTGCTAAACAGCCGTCCACTCGGGGTCCGAAAGGGCTGCCCCCTTTGAAAGAGGCCTTTGAGGAGGCTCAGAGGGGACAAAAGGGGGGGCGGGGAGGTGGTGCCCCCCTCTGCCAGCCATTGTACCCTTTGGCACCCAGGCCCTCCCCCTCAAAAAGGAAGGGGATGTTAATGGGGCCGGGGGCAGATCTGGTCCTCCCCCATCCACAATGGGCCCCATTGAAGCCGCCCTCATTAGAGAGACATCTGAAATGCCTCCTCTTGTGGGTGCAGGTGCGAGAGGTTCCCACTGGTGATGGGGGGCACAGGAGCAGAGGGGCCGCTGCACTTTCCTTCTTGCCAGGAGAAGGCCATGTCCAGCGGGAGAGGCATTGGCACCAGCATGGCATGGGAGGCCTTCCTCCTCCCTCACTCCCATGTCCAAGCATCAGTGACTCTGCTCTGGGCTTTAGTCTGAACTTGAAAGGAGCCAAGCTTTATCCTCCAGGTCCATTCAGATTCCAGTCCTCCAAGACCTCCACTCCACTAGCCGCCACGGTTTCCTCACCCAGCTCCATGGTTCTTCTGCACAAGGAGGGAGAGACAGAGGAGCCCTGGGCTAAATGGGGTGGCCTCTTGCTCCCCAAAAGATCCGCCTTAAGAAAGTCACATCCCAGGGCCAATCTGGCAGCGAAGCTAATGCGATAATCTCCATAGAATCCTAGAGTTGGAAGAGACCCCAAGGGCCATCCAGTCCAACCCCCTGCCATGCAGGAACTCCCAATCAAGGCACCCCCTTTGACAGATGGCCATCCAGCCTCTGCCTAAAGACCTCCAAGGAAGGAG